ATAAGCTAGTTGAATATTGATTAAGGAAGAACAGACCCAAACAAACATCCAGTTCGTCCGAACGAAAAATTATCTGCTGAATATTTCAACGATTTCAAACAGCACTGTTCTCTATGTTTAAAACTTCTACTGCTATACGTCTATGTGCTATACTGACAAGCTGCCAAGATTGCCAAGAATCAACGGGCTTCACCACAAGGAAAAATCAGAATTGGTTCGATGAAAACAATAAACAATAGAAATAAAAGACATTCAGAACGTTGTCGATCAGAAAAGGAAAGCCTACATACAATATCTGACCAAACGACCCCAAATTCAGTTCAGCTCACAAAAAGAAGCATATCTTCAAGCAAAGGCTAAAGTACAAAAAAAAAACTAAAATGATGAACAATAGCACCGTCTAACAACACCGGAACATTCTTTAGCCCACAAAAGCAACCTATGGCGACTCTACTAAAGATTCAAATCCTCTAGTCTAGATCTAGAAATAGGATTTGGCTTCTATATCGATCAGCTTTTATCAACTTCCGATGTAAAGAGCATTTTCAGAAACTCTTGAACAGAGATTCTCAATCTCTTATAGGTGATGACGTCTTTAAGAAAGTTCCTCAAAAGTCAAAACCAAACTCGAAACCATCTGAGTGACAAACGTGGTTTCAAGGATGAGGTTGAAAAAGCTAGCAAAAAACTAAAAAATAAATAAAGTTGCTGCATTAAAATATAAATGGTCATAAAATTAGAATAGTTCAGCTACATCGGATTTATTAAACAAACCAGATGTAGTGCGAAAATTTATACTGTTACCAATCTTACATTACACGATAATGAAAAAGATATACCTAAAAGCTTATTATGGCTTAAAACCATATAAAACAAATAAGAATCCAGCAGGCAGTAGGCAATCTCTGAGTGAAAAAAATTATACATACACTTGGCCAATCATAAAACTGGTACGCATTTTCCTATCGTGTTGTTTTGTGTAAATCGACCTTTTTTTATCACCTCAACAAGTCAGTGTCATATTTGAACCAATCATAACATAAAAACATGTTGCATTTACCCATTTACCTTTGTTCAGCTTTGACGTTGACAAAAACTGTCTGACCTAAGTTTTTCAGAAGATACTTTTTGTTGTTAAGCCTGACTCACACTAAGCCAATTTATAAAATATATACTGCCTGTACCAGTTTTAGGTATGTTTGGCCAAGTGTAGATGTTATTAAAAGTGCAGCCGTTTCTAAGTCAATATTATTGGTTTACCCAAGTGAATTATCAATGTTAATAAACCTTCTTGTATTATGACTCTTTGATCACACTCAAGGTCGCATATTACTATATTTCTGGTTATATTATCATAACAAAGAATCCCCAGAAGCACAGAAGGTCAGACATAGGATATGGATAATCCCTTGTATTACGTGAAATTTTTTAACAATTATGTCTTTCAAAGAGGGACCCAGAAACTATAGATATAGAGCGTAATAAGGCTATTAGCATTATTTTTAACTTAACTTAATAGACTTTTTCTTTTTCAGTTCAATTTTAAAACGGCATTGTTTCTAACAATAGTTATTATTATTATTATTATTATTATTATTATTATTATTATTATTATTAATAATATATTTTTTTTTAACACAGAATAGAATATTGTCAACTAGCTGCTTAGGAAAGGAGGACCCAGTATTTAACCTTATTAATTTAATTGCCGATTCGATCGGATATTTATTGCAATTCAGCAATAAATTGATATAAATTGCGCTGCAAGCCGCAGCAAAGGTAGACTTAAACCAGTGCAAGTACCTCTCGTTGGAAAATCCCCTCTGGAATTAAGTCTCCCCAGTGCAAGTACCTCTCGTTGGGAAAGCCCCTCTGGGTATCTTAATAATAATAATAATAATAAGACGTTTATTAACTCAAAAAGGAAATACAAATAAAATTTTACATCAGCTTACTAACACGACTAGATGAGTTAAACGGCCCATTTTGCGAGGTCACGTATGATCTCACAAATGCTGTTGAGGCCTCAAAATATAATAGCAACAAATTAAAACAGAATAAAAGAAAAATTAACCAGAGTACAGAGATTATTATTATCAACTAGAAAATAAAACTAAGCGATAATAAATCGACAAGGAGTGCTGGTAAGGGACGGAGAGAGAGGGGTAAAGAGAGGTAAAGCACACATTTGCAGGAATGGAAAAAAAATAAAAAATAAAATCAATTCACTATTAATAAAAATAATACTAAAACAAAAAAAATTATCGTACATACATAGGTATACCGAACAGAGTCAACAAATTTAATATCAAAACACTATATTCGTACGAGCTGCGATTGAAATAATTTAGTTTTAATTCGTTTTTTAAGAAATGCAATCGAAGTGGAAAAATCCACTATTTGAAATTTGTTTATTATGTAAGCAATATTGTATGCAAAAGACTTTTTGAAAAATTCTTTGATATGGCGTGGTATCGTTAAAATATGGCTACATCTAAGGTTGCGGTTATGGATTTGATTACGATATCGCACTTTTTCTACAAGATACCTAGGAGACTCTTTTTTAAGAATTTTATAAAAAAATATTGCGGAATGCATCACTCTTCGACTATACATATTCAGCCAACCTGCATCCTGCAGTCTATACGTGATTCGTTCTCTTCTGCGTATTCCGTAAATTAGCCTTAGACAACAGTTTTGCAATTTCTGGATGCGCCTATAATCGTAAGTAGTTAAGCAAGGACCATATATAACATCACAATAATTTAACGGTGATAAGACCATCGCATCGCACAGCATTTTTTTTGGCATCTTGATGTAAATATTTTCGATGCGAATAAAGCAATTTCAAGTTGCAGTACCCTAAACTAATCTTGCTTGTAACGTGTTCAGTAAATTTTAGTTTATTATCCATTATCAGACCTAGGTTTTTAGAATAATTCTGGAAGGGCAGATTTGTACCATCAATCTTCAATGACATGTCACCAACAATACCAGCCCGATGCACCTCGCTACAAAAAAGAAGTGCAACTGATTTAGAGGGATTAATTTGTAGTTGATGGTCCTTTGCCACCTGAGACAACGTTCCAAGGTCCTCATTCAAAAAAGTACACTCTGTGTGGGACTAAATGACAGCAGTATTTGTTTGTCGTCTGCGTAAGTATGACTACTGCAGTGTTGCAAGTATTTGTCGAATTGTGAGGTATAAATTGTGAACAGAAGAGGGCCCAAAATTCTTCCCTGAGGAACTCCGGCGACAGGTAAGGGTAACATACTGTTGACGATTTGATAAATATGACTGAACTAAACCAAAAGCAGTAAATTCGAAACCAATATACTTTAATATTGATAGAAGTAAATCGTGATTCATTAAATCAAATGCCTTAGTAAAGTCCAATAATACAAGAACTGATGCTTGATTACTGTCAAGAGCGGCCAATATATCATCTGTTACCTTAGAAAGAGCTATGCAGCAGTCATATCCTTTACGAAATCCGGATTGGTTTGGTGGAAACAGCTCATTAGTATCCATGTAACTTCGAATTTGGTCTTCCATTACCTTTTCAAGGACTTTTGATAGAACTGGAAGTACCGATATAGATCGAATTTGTGAATAGGAGGAGGCATTTTGAACTTTTGGAAGAGGAATAATTTTGGCTTTTTTCCAGAGTAGTGGAAAATATGAATTTTCTATACAAAGATTGACAATGTGCAAAATAGGCTTAATTATGACAGGAAGAGCTAAAAGTATTATTGTTACATTTAAATTGTCCAAACCGAATGCCTTACTCTTTATGTGAGTGATCAAGTCTTTAATATAATTCTCTGTAACCAACTGAAATTGAAATCTGCAGTTTCCCAGACTGTTTTGGTTATAAAAATTATAAATATTTTGATTTATTGGAGGTAGATTTTGAGTTACTTCAGCCTTATCGTTGTCCAGTGCAATTACCTCTCGTTGGGAACGCCCCTCTGGACAAGGCATAAGGGTGACGATAAACTAATCTACAGTCCCCCAAGCAGCGTTGACGTGTGGCACCCTATAAGGACCCCAGTGTTCGAAGGGTCATGCATCTTATAGGATTAGCATACATGTAAGGGCATATCTGGGAAAATATATATCTATATTTTTATATAACCTGAGCGAGTCTCTCTCCATCAACCCCCAAAGCTACGAACCCCCCATGTCACCCCCGTAAAGCGGGCAGTTGTGACAATATTATCAAAAAAATATAAATATAAACCAAACAAAAATAATTAAAATTAAAGATAAAAAACTTCGTCCAGTTCCTGCATATTGGATAAAGTGTCCAACACCGAAGCTGCATTCCCTCTCTGGATGGCTATGCTAATCCTCTGTAACAAGAACGAGGTGGACCTGGGTTCATGACAATCAGATTTTTTTTTGATTTTGGCACCTAATTCTTTAAAATATGATTTTGCTTTTTCACCCCAAGGGCCAAAAGTTTCTACACAAAACGGGACAAAAAAATAATTTTTCATTATTTCAGTATATTTATTTGTTTTAGAAATTTCCCAAATTTTTGCAGCCTTTCCGGCTTTTTTTGATGTCATAATATAAGATGTAGCTAGAGTATGAGAGCAGGTTGCATCCCAAACCAACGGTTTACCTCTTTTCCATGGAATAGTTATTACAATAATCATCAATTAATTCTTTAAATAATTAAATAATTTTTGTAACAATACATGTTTTTGGACATTTTAAACTCAAACATATCCATATTCCTTTGGGGTATAAGGGTTTTTTCTAATAATAAATAGAATTAAACAACAAAACACTGTCATTTGATAATGAAGAAAGTTTCTTGCAAGTTGACTGAATCAAGCTGCTCTTATTCTTTCTACCTACTGAAAAGTTAATCAACCACGGCTCAATCAATAATGTTTATTTAATACTTTATTTTAATCACTCATTTCAGTCAACAACTTGACTTGCTGACTCCGTACGCGCCTAAACTACCTAATTAAGATATTAAATTTTATAAAATGTCAGAGACCTCCTTATTATAATTACTCGTTAAATTACTACTAGAATTGGAAGCTGGAAAAGTTAGTCGACTACAGTCATTGTAGTTCTGGTGCTCAAGGTGTCTTAATTCGGCATTACCAACTATGCTGCCTATTTCCAATCTCACGTAAACTCGTTCCTTCTCAGGTAACTTCTTGACACTTTTTGCCATGGATGCAAAGAAAAGATCCGTCTCATCTTGTTCTTCGGAATGATTTCCTTTATGTATTTTGTTGATTGATTCCAAGCTTTCCTCCAAAGAAATGTTTCCATTTTTCAATGTTTCTGAATTTTCAGGACTTTTTTCTTGATCCATACCAATGCTTTTTAGTTTCTTTGCTGGCAATTTTACTTCTTCTTTTTCCTCTTCTAGGTCAACATCCTCATTACTACTTTCTTCAGAACTTTCAGGAACTCTGAAATAAGACTTATACTAGTGTAGTAATTATTTAGAGAAAATTTGAATTTTACCTTTTCTTTCCAGTACTGCTGGTTAGAAATGATGACAGTTGTTCAGCTCTTCTTCTTGCAGCTTCATTTGTAGTTTCTTTTCCTATTCGTCGCACATAGTATCCTCGCACATAAGCCCATCTCTTAGCGCACTCAACATCTGAAAATGAAAAGTTGCTTAATGACTATACTATTTCCAAATCTAAGCGTAACAAACACCAGCCTTCCTATTGGTTGAAACGCTCTACCTAAACCAGTGCGTATGCATGGTTGTGATGAAAATGACCAGTTTGTCATTTAAATTGGATTTGGTTCAACCTCAATTAGACATTCCAACGACCTGTCAAAAAGTGCGTTGTGGGCGGAAGTTCATTATCCCGTATATCCTGTTCACAATCCGATGTCCACAAGTGCTGGTAAATTTATCACCTTTCCCTATCAAATAGCATTGAAAGGTGATACATTTTACCGGTACCAGTGGACATCGGATTGTGAACGGATATTATATGAGAGTATGGAATTTAAAGCTTTTTAAAGTGCATTTTGTGGTTGTTTTGTGAATGAACTCTGTTTATTTTTTTGTTTTATTGACTTCATTAGTGTTTCTTCTAATTAAAAATGCCGAAAACGTATCTTGTAGTTGATTGTGGAAGTTGTAAGGGAACGCGTTAGACTTTCTTTCTTGTACGTAAGAAACCGCGCCACGAAATTACCCGGTTTTTCTATATCGTTTAAGAGTTTTGAGGTTTTTACCTATAAGTTGTCCTTTCCGTCGAAAAAATTCAAATATCGAATTTCAAAAAAAAAAAATTCTATCGGATAGAGGAGCAAAAAATACGTCAAAAAGTCAATTTGACCCTCCTCGCTATGGTACGTCTTAAGGCCGAAAAAAAATAAAAAGGGAAATGTTGAGGTTTGACATAGATGCCAAATTTTTTTTTTTACACGACTTGAAATGTTTGGAAAAAATATTATGTGTGGCGGAATCCTTTTTTTGATATTGAACCTGCTTGATCATCCGGGAGAAAATAGAAAATTCAAATTCGAAATTGGCGGCGCGGCGCCAGCACAATGGGGCCTGGGGGGATGGAGAGTAATGATTGTGTCATTGCAGGGGTACATGGTGTATTATTTTCCGGACGAATAATAATAAAATAATAATTCGGAAATTCCAGGTTAATACAAAAAAATATTCGACCGGAAGTTCCCTAACATTAACAACACTGTTTACTTTTTCATTAGCCAATTTTAAGCGCATAACCACAATTTTGTGGTTTTAACCGCGGTTACGCTTTGGTTCAAAATGACAGATCACTTGATGACGTAATTTCATTGTATTCGCTTAAACGCGTTTGGTATTAACCGCGGTTACCCCTGTTGTGTTATTGTTATTTTTTTATATTTTGAAGTTTGATTTCATGCTGGCCGGAAAATGGGAAAGGGGAGGAAGAAAACTTGCCGTTTTATTTGGAGGTGTTTTTTTTTGAAGACGGAAATAATTGACTTGTTTAGGAAATCTACCAATTTGTTGTATTTTTTACAGTTTTTCCAACTATTCCGATTTAAAAAAACAACTTTTATGGATTTGGTAGATGTCATTGGAAGAACTGATACACAAAAAATATTATGAAAACCATATACTGGTGGCCATTATCTCAAATATGTTTGACTCCAGTGGCGCAACCAGGCCCCCCCCCCCCCCCCCAAGGCTTCATAGAAAAATAGAAAAATAATGAAGATGAAGTAGACAAAAGCTGTAAACTGCTCATATCATAAAAAGCTTATGAGGTGTAAACCAAAAATAAGTATTTGGTTTAGGGATGTAAAATGACGATCATTTATTTTTTGTGATGGGTGACTGTCATTTTTTGGTCATTTTTGTCATTTATTGTCATTTATCGTCATTTACCTTCATACCTTCAATGTAGAACATAACATAACCTAAATCAATAATCAAATATCTGATTGGTTGAGTTAAGTTCTTCTCTTCAGTTTCACAGTCATCAACATCAAAGTCATTTACTAAGTTAGAAAATACAGCTTCCATCTCCTTAATTAGATTGATAGTAAAAATCGAAAGACATCTGATATCTTTGTCACAGTCACATATATTTCAATAATGGTCATATATTTTAATGACAGTCAGTTCTGTGCACATCTGTGAGTTAATCTATAACTTTCTATAAGCATATAGCTGCCTATAGACAATTTGCAGTTCTACACTTCCCTCTAGCTTACAGAAAATCTTATAGAATCGTAAATATTTCCGATCTGGTGTTTGGTAATCAATGCATTTTGCAGTGTCTATACGCTTATAGAAAGTTATAGATTTGCTTACAGATATGCACAGAATTGATCTGTACATCAATAAAAAAATAAATGACAAGAGTGTCATAAAAATAAATGACGTGACCGTCATTTTCATTTTGACTGTGACATGACATTGTCAGAAAAATTGACTGACGGCCATTTGCACCGGTATAACTTAAGGGACATTTAATCCAAGTGGAGCTTTGAATGTGACTCTCGTAGAAACAAAAATCACATTCAAAAGCTCCACTTAAATTAAATATCCCTTAAGTGATAGCGGTTAGAGGTGGGAAACTATCGATAGTAATTATCGATATATCGATAGTTTGGTACACTATCGAACTATCGATAGTTCTACTTGGACAATCGATAGCAGTCCTCCCGTCCTTTCTCATGTTAGCAGGTCAGCAATGTCAAGTATCAAGAAATATCATACATTTTTCATCTTTCATATGATCTTTCATCAAGGCTCCTAAAGTTAATAGGTTGTCTGGTGATGGGTAATCATCCGCGTCATCTGGTCTAGGGTGTCTGGAGATTTGGAATTATGTTATGGCAGCCCAGATGACGCCATAAAAGTTATTAGGCAACCAAAACCTACCTCTCTCAAACACCCTTGATCTTTTTGGTTTTGATGGTATGGATGTTGAAATTTGAAATCAAAACTAAAAAAGATGAAGATGATTCCTTACTTCCAGTTTAAAGGAAAAAGAACGTGTGTAATTAACTATTGTTATTCACAATATTAACTTTTATTTTGGTATTTTTTCTCTCTCGTTGTGTCTGTATTGTAGGGCGTAGGCCGTACGGGTAGGGCCTTCATCTGCACACTGCAGTCGGATTTAATTAACATTAACATTTTGGTTTGCCCTGCACTGCTAATTGCTGAAACCCCAAATACAAAATAGGTGTAAAACGTAAACCCTTTCTTTTATCGATACTTATATCGATACATCGATAGTTTTTATTCGTTATTATCGATATATCGATAGTTAGATTCTTCGATAGTTTCCGACCTCTAATAGCGGTGCAAATGGCCATCACAAGCCTAATCTGGTTTATAATAATAGGTATGTGAAAAAACTCCAAGAACAACATCGAAAACCTCGCCTTTCTGCCGGATTTCTATCAAAAGATATCAGTCTTTAGTGTTTGCAACAAAACGTAGACGTACGTGACGTCACATTCGTGTGTGGAGCCCAACAGATTCTGCTTTTGTGTATGTAGATACATACTTTGGTTCAAAACCAAAGCCATGTTTCATTTCTGCCATTTGAGTCAACCCGTATTTAAGTGAGAATCGTAGGATTTTTTTACTCTGAGTCTCCCAGTGGTGGATCCAGAGGTGCTTTTCGGGGGAGGAGGGCACTTAACCTGAGAACGTGGTCATTTAGTAGCCGCCGGAGGCTAACCGCCGTAGGCGAAAAATTTTAGGGTGCCACGCCTCTTTTTTGGGCCTTTAACGATATTTAATATCAATATTTGGTTGTTCAGGGACATTTTTTATATTTTCCCACCCCTCAACTTTTTTATGCCGCTGTGTATAAAAGAAATGTGAAAAGAGAAATTGTATAGGTTGAAATATAGTTACCACAAAACATAAACCGAATTTTCGCGATTAATGTAGTTCATCCAAGGACGAACCATAGTTCTTCTTGTGACGTCATGAGTTTGAACGCTGGCTAGAAGCTGCGTCCATGCTTCCTGCGAACGACATTCATTATGACGTCATGAGTTTTTCGCGAAAACGTTTGTTTTCATGGAATCATGGAAGTAGTTCGTCGCGAAAATTCGGTTATAGTTTTGTTCATACAGGGTCAGGGTGTTGCAGAAAGTTTAAAATAAAAAAAATATTTTTTTTTTATGGGACACCCTGTATATTAAATATTGAATATTCGCATTCTACGTAAAACTCTGAGCAGATTTCATGTGATATACACTATACCTAAGTTCAACTGTTTTGGAAATATTGACAGTGGAAATTTGACTCTTTGCAACTTTGACAAGATGTAACACCTAAATGGGTAATTTTACAGCAAAACCGATTTTACATCGGGAGCGAGTTCAGGAATGACACACCCAGTCTGAGTGTGACACCGGTGCGATGCCCTAGCTGTTCAAAAACGCTAGACGGTGCTATGGGCCCAATGACCAATTGTCATTTCAGTCACACCCATAAAATCGCACTCGCACCCTGTGCGTTATTTCTGAACTCGGCCCAGTACATCAAAGTTGCAAGAAAGTCAAATTTCATCTATCAATATTTGCAAAACAGTTGAACTTAGGTAAAGTGTATGTCACATGAAATCTGCTCAGAATCCGAATATTCAATAATAAACAGAATGTCCCATTAAAAAAAAAAAAAAATTCAAACTGCAACACCCTGTATGAACAAAACTATGTTTTCTGAGAACTATTTTTCGAGCTATACACCTTTTCTATTTACATTTTTTCTATACACAGTGGCACAAAAAGGTTAAGGGGATGGGAAAATATAAAAAATTACCCTGTGCCTGCTTATTGCGAAGGAATATAGTATCACAGACTTGTTCTAAAAAGAAACTCAATACATATCAAAATTTACAATTCTATACTGCATCAATCACCAAAATCAATAGCCGCCATCAAATCACAACCGAAAGGCAGTCAGAATCACCCAATCAGGTGAAATACATAATCTTAAAAGCCTGAGAGAAAATGTTATTATTCAAAGAATATATTTTTTATGCGTGCGGAGGACACTTTCTAGAGATTTTTTCATAACATGAAAAATTCTCGTAGGGGGAGGGGGGCACTTGCCCCCCCTGGATCCGCCACTGCAGTCTACGGTATCTGAGCGGTTGTGACGAC